TATTCAAAATGTGAGAATCAAGGATGCAGTAACAAACATGACCCTATGAGGTGCCTACTTTAAGCAAGAAGCAATGCCTATGTAGCTATTCCAGATTGCCAACTATGCATCAAGGATAGAGTAGTGTATAGTTATGCAAATAATTATTCCCATGTTCAAACAACTCTTTTCATTATCCACCATGTATAGTTATGCCATTTTTAAAATTATTTGCAGATGCTAGTAGTGTTTTTGGGTGATGAGGCATGTATAGATACAAATAGTTTGAGAATGAAGTACCTTCATAAACTTACCTAAATTAAACCTGTTTGAATTTTTAAATATTCAATTAATTGGCTGTTAACTTAGGATTGTTGGTGGCAAAAAGTAACTTGAAGACTCAAATTTGGCCTGTCAACAAACTCTAACCTTGAAGGACTCAGCATCATGAATAAACTAGAAGTCTACAATACAACTACTAATGGATTCAATATGTAGTGAGACTTTACTAAAAAAAATCATTTTTTGTGACCGTTTCAGGTTGTCGCAAATAACAAAAATGTAGTCGCAAAAAATCTTTTGCGACGATCATGTGACGACAAATGGGAGGTGTGAATGTGAGGTGAAAAATACTTTTTGCAACTGCAAAACAATGGTCACAAATTATGTGCGACAGCCTACCCTACATATGAATGTTTTGTCGTCGCAAAAGAAAGGGGAAAAAAAAAAGAAAAGCCTACAATGCTTTAGCAATCATCTTGTTACCATCGCACCCAAAAAAAAAAAAAAAAAAAAAAAAAAAAAAAACCAAAATGCCTGCAATGTTTTATCAACCTATGTTTTCATACATAATATACATTAAATGTAAAGAGGTGTTTGTAAAAATTCTAGCATTCATGCATTATTTTTTGTCTCTTTCCTTAACAAAATTCTTTTTCTTCAGAAAAAAAAATTTGCATACAAAATATAAATTTCCATACACGCAAAACAAATACCCATCAACCATCCCTAAAATATTTATACAAAGTACTAACAGATTCAAGTCCTCAAAAAAATAAAAATAAATAAATAAATAAAATAAAATAAAATAAAAAATAAAAGAACAATCTTAGTTTAGCTCCCAATATCATTGCACGATCATATCAACTATTCCCTCGGCAATACCTGCAAAAACAAATTATATTATGATTAAGGTTTGTTGAGTTGAAATACAGCCAAAGGCCATCGTTATCTAACTCAAAACCTAATAACCATTCAAATTTTGAAGTTGTAAAAAACAATGAGAGAGTATCCGTGGGAACAATTGTTAAGGGTCATATTTAAATAACACTATAGCATGGAAAGAGTAGAAACATTACTTTCTTTTGGACCATGGAATTCCACATTGAATTCACTAATTCCATCATTTATTGGTTCCACAGCATAGTCACTCATCATCCTATAACACAATAACATAGCACTTCAGTCATAACATTAGAAAAAGGTCAAGATCCACAAATTTGATTTCATTTGATATTGCAGTAGAAAAAACCAGAAAAAGAAACATCCAAATTTCTAATAGGCAAACTGAAAAGCCGAAGAGTATATGAAGCCAATATACTTTTCTTTTTTTTTGATATCCGAATGTCTGGGCCAACTTTCGCGCACCTCGACTAATCTCGAGGCCCTGAAGTTAACGACCGGGTAAACCTCCAGTGGCTCTAAGGTGTGACTTGAACTCGAAACCTGTAGATTTTATCCTCCAAGCTTTATCATTCGGCCACTTGCCTTGGAATTTATATGAAGCCAATATACTACTAGCTATAACTATAGAATTCTGGATATATGAAACAGAGATGTACATAGGATTTTTGTTTTGTATATAAAGCGAAAGACTTTTGTTACATTTATTTATAACTATAGCAGGGGTGACCATTTGTTCAATGGTTAAAACTTACCCTAATAACCTTGAGGTTATGAGTCCAAGTCTTGGGACTACCACTTTGTGCATTATGCCAAAGGTTAGGTGTGCATTCAATTTTCCCTTCCCTAATATATATTAATGTGTACTAATTGGGCGTTATTTTTATTTATTTATAACTATAGAATAAATTATGTCAGCAAAGTAGAAAAATAAAAAGCAACAAGCCCACAAAAGTAGCGTACTACTCAAAAACCTTACAATTTCATGACATCCATATCTCTCCTCCTGTTTGGCATGATGAATATAAGTGCACTTATTTAGATAAGTGTACTTATTTGGATCACATCACTTCTATACTTTTCTGCATATCTTTTTGTAAAAAATTAAAAAGTAAATTTATTTAGATCATCCCAGATAACAAAAAAATTATGTATTTACCACCCTGCCAAATTCAGAACAAAAGAAAATAGATGTAAGCACATGAAAGTTCAATTTCCAATAGGTAGGTCCATATAAATATATATATATATATACCTATCAAATTCAAACATATAATAACAAAATAAATAAATAAATTACAGAAAGTGAACTACTAGAATGTGCTATTAGGTTGGTCCATATATATATATATATACATATCAAATTCAAACATATAATAACAAAATAAATAAATAAATTACAGAAAGTGAACTACTAGAATGTGCTATGGCAAGATCCAAATATGGTATGCAGCAACTTGAGAGAAGTAATCAACATGCTTATCACAAATCGATATGTAGAAACTTTAGAAAAGAAATCAACATAAATATTACAAGTCAGTATGCAGTAACTTTAGGGAAGAAATCAACATAAATATCACAAATCTTGTAAGTCGTAAAATGCTTGACACCAAAAGGGCCCAACTATGGCGGGATAGAGCTTTGAAATTCACTTCTAGAAAAGCCTTCATCATCCCCAACTTCGTTTCCTAGTGCCTAGATTGAGACCATTATCCATTTATATAAATATGGTCCTTGCTATAACTCATATAACCAATTGTGCATGCCCAAAAATGAATATGCACTAAAAATATTTCATTTTTCTTATAAAATATATTTTGTGAACTGATTCATATCTGTCTTGCAAGTGAAAACAATTATTAGAGTTTCCACTGAAAATTCTTAGCATATAAATTCTCTGCAAGAGTTTCGCTCCTAATAGAAGAATTAATCATCAGTACCAATTCAAATTCTAGAACTAGTTTCAAAATAAAAGAATTCAAGTTTTGGGAACCTATTCTATCATTCAATTAACAAACATATCTCAATCCTTTAGAGCCAACTGTTTGTGATAATTCTCTTTCCTGTCTAATTCCACTGGAACTAGGAAACCTTAGGAATTTGCAATATATAGACTTTGGGAATACTCTCTTGAATGGAAGCATACCTGGCATATACAACTGCACTACTTTGTCAGAACTCAGCCTCATCCTTAACAATCTCACTGGTACAATCCAGTCAAACATCGGTGATTTAGTTAATCTTCATCGTTCTACCACCGGCGACCAAATTCCCACCCACCCTCTCTCTCTCTCTCTACATGAGAATATAAAAACACCTTTATCTATCTATCTATTTGTTTGTCTCATGAGCCTGTATTTGTTTATTTGTATTGGATTCTGGTTGCAAGATGTGAGGATACATTCATTAAGACCAAATTCCCCCCCTCTCTCTCTCTCTCTCTCTCTCTCTCATTGTGAAAGAAACTAAACTACTCAAGCTCAACTCATGTTCAACTCGTTAATTTTTCAAGTCAAGCTTGAACAAGATACTACTTGGCTCAATAAGATTAAATGCATAATAATAATAATAATAACACTAAACTATTTGAGGTCAACTCATATGGTTCGATTAAAGTTCAATTGCGATCGACTCGAAAGGAAAAAAAAATCAAGGTTGAACACATTTTGAAGCACGTTTACAGCCATATCTCTTGCCCCTCAAACGAAGGAGCAAGCGAAATCATCAACCAAGAAAACAGTGCCTCAAATCATTAATGAATGTATCCTCACATCTTGCAACTAGAATCCAAAACAAATAAACAAATACTGGCTCATGAGATAAACAAACAGAGAGAGAGAGAGAGACCATTCAAGTAGTAAAATGAAGCAAAAACTAAACTATTAACCTTTTCAAGTTAAGACTACAACAACTTTTTGTATCCACAGTAAAGACCATAATTAGTATAATACCTGTACATGGGAAGTCTTGGCTAGCAAACTTGTCTAGCAAAAAAAAAAAAAGTAAGGGTGTTGCAATGGGTGCATAAGGAAAAAATCCCCAAAAATGGTTCCTGCCAAATAAGTGGCGAAGGGACATTTCTCTACAACTACTCTTATATTTCCACAGAATGTTACACATTTGACCCCCAAGTTGGTCATCTAAATTTAAAAAATAAAAAATAAAAATCCAAACTGATAAACATCAAACACAGTTCTACAAAATATTTCAAAGATAAACAACAAATAATCTTGTCCTACCATACTTGTTGCTTGCATTTAAGGCGTGTAACATTAACTTATGCAATCCTAAAAAATTTACAAATAAAAGTCTAATCATCAAATGCTAGTTTCAAGAAGCAAGTATTGTATTATTGATCAACATAATACTTCAAAAATGTGTGTGTGGGTGTGGGTGCGTGTGTGAGAGAGAGAGAGAGAGAGAGTACATACACATGTCAAAAATTAAAATGCATTAAAAATTAAAAAAACGCGTTATTTCTATTTCCGACGATAAAGACCTTAAGCGAGCTATTTTCCGCAGAGGATAAAATCATGCACTTCTTAATTCAAGAAATGAACTTCCACGAAATATCTCATTCATATACCGTACAAAAAAATATTACCTAAAATCTCAAAAGAAAAAGAAAATGAAAATGAAAAATGCCAATTCAAAAACAATCAAAGAGCAATATCTCTAACTAAGCAACATTATACACCACTAGAAACATACTATACAGTAGAATTGCACATATATGTTTCATCAAATTGCATTGCAATGTACGTCTCTATTTGTTCCTCAACAATAACCTTGTCCCCAAAATGTTTGAACTGCAACAATATTATACAAACCACCATAAACAACAGAGCGAGCAACAAACTTGTCATTAGAATGCATTGTTACTAAATTGATCTCCACAGAGCATTTTTCTATCATTTTAACTTGTTTTCACTCCAATTCAATTTGCAATGGTGAATATAACAAATTCTTCTCAATAACAATCCAATACCTCAAATTCACCAAATGCCTGTAGTCTATCCAAAATCTGCCCCATTGGAGCCGAAAAATCCTATAGCAAATCAGCCTATTAGAATCGATTCGACAAGATGTTTTATACAACAGTTGATTCTTGCATGCTTGGTTTTTAGATTATATATCTATATCTGTATATATATATATATATGCAATGTGAGCAACAAGAATAGAACCTCGGGGAGAGAGAGAGAGAGAGAGAGAGAGAGAGAGAGAGAGAGAGAGAGCGTTTGAGCATGCCTGGCTAGGGTAAATATAAATAAAAGAAAATAGGAGAAATAAATGGGGGCAAATATAAAGCCCACTCATAAACTGAACCTTTTAGCACCCCTGACTTGTGTCTCATAATGCCGTTGCAAATATATTTTTTGCCACGGCCAGACAGACGGTCAAAAAAAAAATAATAATAAATAAAGAAGAAGAAGAAGACGCAAAAAGTCAATTTTCTAGTAGTGCTCTTGAGGAAAAAACAATACCAACTACTACGGGATTCAATATGTAGCAGACTCTATGGAAAAAAACAATACATTCTCTTCTGTGTAGTTCTTTCATGGTCCCATTTGCCATTCAGCACATCACCAATGGCTTAACGCTTTTCCTTTAACTACATCCTGCAATTTTATTCATTCAAAAAAACAGCATCCTGCAATTCCAAATAAGGAAAACTCATAAATAAGACAAATTCTAGTGAAAGTTTGTGGAAAAATACACCTAATTAAGTAGCCCTCGTTACAATATTGTCCCCAAAAGGGCACTATCAAAAACAGTCTTATATAACTTCCTAACCTTCTTTTGTTTTTCATGTTCTCAGCTCATTCCCATCATAAACTCTGCCACAAGCTCTTGATATCTGACAAAGTTGAATGTTTTCATGCTATGTTTTGATCAATGATCATTGATGAGTTGAAATGCCAAAGTGTAACACCAATGCTATCATACATTTACAAAAATGAATGGTTATTTAATATGCCATGAGGGACCAAAGAGTGCCATGTGCCAACTTATGTCAATAATTTGGACAGCAGTTGGGAATTGAGCCAAATTGGGAATGATTATATAGTTTAGAAACCAAATTGGAAAAAATAAACTTTAAGGGCCAAGGTAAGAATTCAATAATACTTTACAAGGACAAAATATAATTGTACATATAGACAGAGAAAGAGAGAGGGAGAGAAAGAGAAACCTAAGCAGAAGAAATCACTTCTGGTGAAAAGCGAACATATTGTTGACACTGTAAACTGCAGAACTAACATCAAAACCACTGCCAACTTTCCCTTTTCCAATCTCACATCATAAACCCCACCTAGAAGCATGGAAAACTTACACAGTTCAGTCCATAAAACTTTGGCTTGCTCTAAACATTGGCATATGGAAACATCTCAAGAATAATAACGTGCAAATTTGTAATAATACATTAATGATATAGATAAGATGATTCAAAAAATCACTTTCATTCTAGTAGCTCAGAAAGCATAGTCATTATAGTTGATGTTTCAATTGTAGTAAAAAAGAAAGAACATGATACGCAAAAAATATGAGCAAATAAACACCACCAAAGATAAAATAAGTTGAAGATTTTAAAAGTACAATGGGAAAGGTACAATACCTGATTCCGATATGAATAGAAGTCATTGCAACCTAAGATTGTAATGTCAAGACCTGCATGAATAATCTAGTTGAGACATTAGATATTTACAATTACTTAATTTTAATGAGAAAGATGAAGCATCAAACATTACCTTGTAAAAGTAGTTTGTGTAACAAATCCTTCTTATTCTTATCCAATGTCGCAAGGGCTGCTGCTACAGCATATTGCACTGCATATTCTACAAGGGGTTCCTTGATTCACTGAGATTTTAAGCCAACACTGATAAGCATCACCCCAAGCCAATATACCATTTGTTTTCCCCGTTATTTGAATCTAGTCATTAAGATGAGAGAAACCACTAAAGATAATTCTTCTTCAGAAGACACAAATGTGGATTGCTTGGCAGCTGCTCTTCTTGCCCCGGCTAGTCCAAGGTAACGAAGTAGAGGGAGAAAAGTAAATGTGGATTGCTTGGTAGCTCCTCTTCTTGCCGTGGCTAGTCCCACAGAAGACACAAATCCTCTTGAACTTGGATTGCTTCATTTCATTCTCTCTACATCACTCGTCCTAGTTACAATATCCATAGAAATTCAAACTATATGTAGAAAATATTAGTAGAACATCAGGGAAAGTTTTCGTCATAATTTCAATCTATAATGTGAATTTAGGACCTTTTTATAAGTCCAAAAATGATGTTCTATATTTAATTGAAACAACCTTCAAGGTTCTAGCTTGGCTTTTATTATTGCTTATTACACTTTACAAGGTCAAATGAATTATACACGACCAACATACATATAGTCTATTCACAAGTTTTGAATGAATCAACCAAAGACCATTAACAATCTAAAACTTCAATGATTTATAAAATGGTATATTAAATTTTATGAGATTTGTAGTTTCATTTGAAGAGATCACTGCAACTAGATTTACTGTGGAAGCATGAAGAATTTTATTATTATTATTATTATTATTATTATTATTATTATTATTATTATTATTATTATTATTATTATTATTATCAGTGATATTTATATTAATATTTTATTTTTGTCTAACTACATCTAGGTAGGAATCAATTCTCTATTGCATGAAGGTAAGGTAAAAGCTATCATTCGATATGGATGGCATCCAGAGAGTAAGGTCACTAATTAAGAATGAGGCAGAGGAAAAATGAAAACACACAAGTACATCAAAATTTTCTCCTTCTTTTCTTGTTTTCCTCATTTTCTAAGCAACCACATAGTGCATAAAAGGAATCCGTACACCAGATTTGATTCCTCAAGAGATACGAAAATTGATAGTACCTGTGAGAGATTCAAAGCAGATAAAAAAAAAAAAAAAATACCAGTAGAAAGATTCAAAGAAGATTCAATTACTCCTTCAACTGTATTCAATTTCATACAAAACTAAGGCCAAAATTTTTATTTTTCTTCCAGAATTGACAATATGCTTTCAAACCAGTTTAGGTATAATAAAATTCTGAAAATTCATCATTTGTATATAATTGTGACAGAGCATCATGAGCAACACCATTAGCAATACTCAAAGTAAAATAGACTTCAAGCAAGAAAACTACCAATGGAATGATTCAAAATCTAACTTTCCAGTAGTTAGGAACCTAAACCTGAATACTACGTCATTAACAAATCATCAAACAACATCACTATGGATTGCTATCGCTATGTTTGGTTCCCAGGAAAGCATAAAACAACATTTATGATTTAAATTTTTTGAATATTTATTTTAATTTTTTACTTATTAAATTTTTTAGATTATTTAAATATTTATGATTTAAATTTTTTGAATATTTATTTTAATTTTTTACTTATTAAATTTTTTAGATTATTTAAATATTTATGATTTAAATTTTTTGAATATTTATTTTAATTTTTTACTTATTAAATTTTTTAGATTATTTAAATATTTATGATTTAAATTTTTTGAATATTTATTTTAATTTTTTACTTATTAAATTTTTTAGATTATTTAAATATTTATGATTTAAATTTTTTGAATATTTATTTTAATTTTTTACTTATTAAATTTTTTAGATTATTTAAATATTTATGATTTAAATTTTTTGAATATTTATTTTAATTTTTTACTTATTAAATTTTTTAGATTATTTAAATATTTATGATTTAAATTTTTTGAATATTTATTTTAATTTTTTACTTATTAAATTTTTTAGATTATTTAAATATTTATGATTTAAATTTTTTGAATATTTATTTTAATTTTTTACTTATTAAATTTTTTAGATTATTTAAATATTTATGATTTAAATTTTTTGAATATTTATTTTAATTTTTTACTTATTAAATTTTTTAGATTATTTAAATATTTATGATTTAAATTTTTTGAATATTTATTTTAATTTTTTACTTATTAAATTTTTTAGATTATTTAAATATTTATGATTTAAATTTTTTGAATATTTATTTTAATTTTTTACTTATTAAATTTTTTAGATTATTTAAATATTTATGATTTAAATTTTTTGAATATTTATTTTAATTTTTTACTTATTAAATTTTTTAGATTATTTAAATATTTATGATTTAAATTTTTTGAATATTTATTTTAATTTTTTACTTATTAAATTTTTTAGATTATTTAAATATTTATGATTTAAATTTTTTGAATATTTATTTTGAAAAAAAAATATTTCCTTTGTAGTATTTTCAATTAAAAAATTGATTAATATTATTTTATGTTAATAATAAAAAAATTTAATTGAATTTTAAAAAGAATTTGGTTATAAGTGTTGATCATAATTTTCAATAGTGTGAAAATAGTGTGTTTTGTTATGAGTTATAACAATTTGAATTAAGTTTTGAAAAGATTTGAATTAAGTTTTGAAAACTCTTTTCAAAACTCACAATTAAACAAATTTTCTTACTTCATATGTCAAATCAAACTTTCAAAACTCAATTTCACACTCAATTCAAAACGCAATTCAACACTCTATTCAAAAATCATAACCAAACAAATTTTCTACACTCAAATCATAATTCCACAACTCACAAACTCAGAATACAACTCATACTCTCAAATCATATTTACAAAACTCTATCAAACGCAGCCTAATACATTTTTATTAGTTCATAACACTTTTCATTTATTTTTAAATAATTTTTTAATTATTTTAATATTTTCAAGACACTTTATATACTAATCCTCACATCAAACAATGTATTTACCTACCACTGGGAGTGGTGCCCTAGTGGAGAAGGCATCCTTCTCCAAAGGCGTGACCCAAGTTCGACTCCTGGGGGTAGCGAAACGCTAGTCCTTTCCAATGGCTCATTGTGATGACCTTCCTCTGTACTTCGATCGAAATCTGGGCTCATTTGTAGCGTATGGTTGAGTTCCACTAGTGCCTCGATTGTGGGTCTCTTCTTATGAGTTAGGTTAAATCAGACTAGCAACTGACTACCTCGAGACCTGGACTGGGCCCACGAATGCCATGATGACACCCCAAAGTATCCTTTTTTTTGGTTAAAAAAAAAAAAAAACGTATTTGCCTTAAAAACAAATGTAATAGTGTTGGTAGTAACTAGTTTGGTGCTACAAAGTCTAATTGACTGGGCCTTCCCTATATGGGGAATGCCTATTTCCCCATATTAGGAAGGGGACTTGGGGGATTTTGAAATTGCTTCCCCAACCACAATCAGAAATACCATGGACCATGAGTTATATAGTATAAATTTAAGGGCAAATTACATATACCTCTTCTAGTTTAGCTAAATTACAGATACTCCCTGAGATTTCAGAAATTATATCTCGCCTCCTGACAATTAACTACGTTAACCAAGATAGTAAATTGACTAAAATGCCCTTTGATTGGTTTGATTTTTAGGCTAGGGTAAATTACAAATACATCCCCTGAGGTTTGCTTGAAGTACAGATTGTCCTCTGTGGTTTGAAAAATTACAAACACCCCCTTATTAAATTTTTTTTATTTAACAAAATTAACTAAAGAAATAAAATTCATAATTGTTCTCCTATACAATAATGAAAAATTACAAACACTCCCTTGTTAAAAATTTTATTTAGCAGAATTAACTAAAAAAATAAAATTCATAATTGCTCTCCTATACAATAATAAAATTACCTAAATTGTTAATTAAAACATATTTCTAACATCATTAAAAACTGTTAATTGATTTGATGATTTATTAATAAAAGGGGCGATTTGTTATGAAATTAGAAACATCGGGGGGTGGAATGTAATTTTCAGAACTACAAAGGGCAATTTGTATTTTAATCAAATCTCAGGGGATGTATTTGTAATTTACCCTTTAGGCTCTGTATGGTTTGATTATTATAAATTTTTTTAAAAAATTAAAAATTAATTTGGTTAAGAAATAAAAAATAAAAAAATTATTATTATTTTTATATAATTTTATCTTTCGAGTGGTTAGAAATAATTTTTTACAAATTAAATATATTTCTTCATATTTATTTTTATTAAATTATTTTTTATTTTTTAAAAAACAAAGTTCGAAATTTTTTTTTAAACAACAAACCAAAGGGATTTTAAGTTAAATCAGGTTGTTTGGTTGTCTTCAACAAAAAAAAAAAAAAGGTTGTTTAGTGCTTTGGTACAGGTTAAATCAGGTTGTCTGGTTGTGTTTAAAAATAAAAAATAAAAAATAAAAATTTTGGCACTTTGAAAGTTCCCAGGGGTAATATAGTCCATCAATATACATTTTGGTGATGTCAGCATACTGTTGTAACGGTTTAGTTCACAGCAGGGGTCAAACTGTTAGGTGAATATAAATCTCAGGAGGCGGGATGTAATTTCCGAAAGGGGTATCTATAATTTAGCTAAATCTCAAGAGGATATATGTAATTTGCCCTAAATTTAAAGTTCGTGTGATGTGAGCCTTATTTAGAATGATTGTGATTAATAAATATATTTTTCTGAATACTTTTTTGAGAATTTGTTCTTGAATTTGTAGTATTGCTAATACAGGTTAATTTAGGTAGATTTAAACTCGTGACATGAATTTCAGGGGAATGGGGTTGCTGCTGTGAAGGCTTATGGGAGTTTATCCTGGGTCTATTTTGATATTTTGAACCATTCATATTGTAAGGTTTGTCGAGTATATCGTCCTTGCAAAAAATTACGTTAATCGGACATTCGTAACCCTATGATCAAGTGCTAATTGTTTTTAAAAAAAAGTATTGAAACCATATTAACCGTTTATTTTTTAAAAATCAAATGTGCATTTATTGTAGGGTTACATATATCCAATTAATCTGATTTTTTTTTTTTTTTTGTATGAATAATTTATTTGACAAACCCTACAATATGAATAGTTTGAATTGTCAAAATATACCCAGAATAAACTTCCACAAGCCCTCACAACAGGCTGTTATGCCTAAAGGCACAACAATATCCCTCTGTCCGAACTTCATTGTGTTGTCCCATTGTAGTTACTAGAAGACCAAGACAGCTCATGCTGTGTACCGAAAAAAAAAAAAAAGACAGCTCAAGCTGATTGCTAAAATACATGTTGGACACATATCTCATATATCTTGTATGTATGGTGTATCACATTTTATGTGTGGCATATGGTATGATAAAAATTGATGAAGTATGGTTAGTAATATTGATATACACTCTTAAAAGGACATATTTTATGTACTTAAAATTTCAGTCACAATTTCATAATTTCCATAAATTTGGACTATGACAAAAGTAAATTGGTTTATATATATAAAATAAAATAAAAATCACAAGTCACTTACAACCAAGCTCACTTTAATTCATAACAAAACATCACCAAATTTTATCACTAAGATTACTTCTTTCTTTTTTTTTTTTTTATCCGATTCAAATCACTAAGATTACTTTGATTCATAACAAAATATCACAAAATCTCGTAACAAAACTAGTTTGTGTCATTAAAAATAAATAAATAAAAAAAAAAATTTGACAAAAGTCTCATAACCAACCAGCATACTTTCATAATCAAATTCATCACAAATATAACGGTAGTCTCTTAACTAAGCACTTGTAGTATTGAATTTTCCCAATAAATAACTGATGTTAATTTTTAACATTTTTTATTTGAAGACTCTTCTAAATCTAGTTATACCATAAATTCAAACTAGTATGTTGAAATGCATTGATCAACTATATGGTACCAACAATGAAATTGGTACTACCCTATTCGGTGCAATATTAACAACATTGCAATAAGGGTAATTGTGGTTGGAATTCTTTTGGATTTATTTTTCTCTGTGGAAAACCAATTTTCTGTTGTTAGCTCCAAGGAGCTGTGATCCGGTGTGGTTACAATTATTGCTTGATGGCTCCTCTTGTATGTTCATTACATTTTTGTATTAAAATTTTCACCTAACAATATCTACTTAATTCTATGTGACAATTCATGGAGACTGCTTTTATTAATAGAATGACATGATAAGTTGGTGTTGGTGCTTACATGCATTAACATCTACTTCCATATGCAAAATTAATGAACCATGCCCTATTTATGTTGTTTGGTGCCTTTGTTTATAAACGACTGCATTTATACCACAAGAACACTATGGCAATAAATAAAGAAATCTCCATTCCCTTTGTTAGGCTAGAGACCTCAAATGAATTACCTCTCACATGGGTGTGAGACCCACACAAATCATATGTGTGTGGTTT